GCCAATCTCTGAGATTTCACGAATCACTTCATATAACACACAATAAACTATAGATTCAAGTCTCAAACCATGTCTTCTCTCACTTCATCTCCATCTGCAGTCATCGCTGCTATACTTTCATTGAATGCCATATCAATTGACACTTATTTAAACAATATATTCGTGTAAATCACAAACTCATCCTAATATTACAAACATGCAATTCCATGACAAAGCATACAATCATTTCAATTTCAGAGTATATTTTATTTTTATAGTGTTTTATAAATATTGTTTTTAATTATTAAATTCTTTAAAAATTAATTCTAAATTAAGTTAAAGCAAAGTATTTTATTTTTATAAAATAAGTTATAAATTTAAATTTTAAAGCATAAAATTAATGTTTAAAATTATAATTAATTAAATTCGCAAATATTTGTTTAAAATGATTTTTATTTGTAAAAATAGGAAAATATCTGATATTACCCTCCAATACATGATAATAACCCCATAACAGCTAATATTGCATAAAATGAGAAATTAATACTTGACTTATCTTTTGGGATATCTTATGATTGGGAGAAATAAATAGACTTGAATTAAATATTTATTGATTCAATTATACCCATAATGCAAGCGAACAGACAATTAAACGCCTTAATTGCTGGCATTCACTCAATAATTCACTCAATAATTCAGTCAATTATAAGTTCTATAAGTAAATAACAATAAATTAAAAAATGACTAAAAAAGTCGATTTGTACTGATATTTCAAACAAATGGACTAAAATAAGCTTATATTACGCTTTTTACAAACAAATAAAAGCATTACAATAATAAACATATAAAAAATATTAAATAAATTGATTTAAGTAAACAAATGCTAAAACACAATACAACTAATACTCGACATACGATTTGAATGAAACATAAAACATCACTAAATCGGAGTAGATATCAAAAGCTTAATAAAATGAAATCAACTTTTGTTGCAGTTTTCAAATAGACTATCGATTTCTCCAATATCTGAATGCAATTCATTGTTTAAAGTATAGGAGAATTTATACTTTAGTCTCACATTTTCATCTTTATTGACGTTTCTGGCGATTAGCATCACTTGCGTTATGACAGTCGGCGCTACAAATGGTCGGTAAGGGGGCAGACAATTGCCCGGAGACATCGACTGCAGTTTCACTCGCATTGACTGAAACAATATATTTTTATTACACAAAAGTAAACACATATTTAATTTCATTGCATTCAATAGTGCCATACCTTAGGAACAGCGGCTAAAAAGTTTATATTAGAGACTGGAAATTGATTGGTATTCGCTATTGTAATCACAACTACTTTGACGTCAATTCGGGGCGAATTTGATGTCAAATGCAAAATGACTTTAACATTGTTTTTGTCGTATAAATGAATGGGTTTCGTATCACTGGGTTCTATGGAATCGAGTGCAACGTTAACATCGGTGAGCGGCGAAGGGATCGAGTCGTTTGTCTCAGTCTTCTCCTTCTCCTTTAGGATTCTGGCGTTTGACTGAATTCTCTGCAATTCATTCAATGAGGTCTTTGGCTGATCGCTATTCAAGAGATTGTATTTCTGTTTGAATTCATCGCTCGAAAGATTGCTTTTCATTAAATGCTCGCTCAGAACGTCGAGCTCTTCTAACGCAGACATTGGACCAGATTTTGACTTTTTCTCACTATCGGTGACTATTGAGTTAGAATTGGATGGTCTGATGGGATCGGGAAGTAGTATATCATTGGGTAACGGGTTTTTATGCGGCGATACCTCTGACTTGTTTTGCAAAAATATTTCTTTCAATTCGTGTAAATCATCAAAAGTACTATTTTTAGCGCCGTTTACACCGGAATGGGTTAAGGAATAGATGTGATCGTCAAGCAGTTCCTCGTCATTCAATACGCTTTCAGAGCCAGCAATCGGTGCCGTTATGTCCAATAGACTCAATTGATTGCTTTCAGGCGCACCGCTATTATTGGAGTTGACTTTCGATACGATTCCAAACCTTTGTTTATAAGCGTTAATAACTTTTGTCAACTCGTCGTTCGCATTGAAAAGAGAGGTCAGATTGGGGTCATCTTCGGTGAAATCATTGGCTAATTTAAATAAACGTATTCTCAATCGTTCGCAACTTTCAAACAACTCTCTCATCAGATCCTTCTCTTCAGCGGAGCTTTCATTTGATGAATAAAATAATAGCATTTCTGACAATACATTCGCGTTGTTATAAACGGTTTCGATTTCGGACTCAAATCTTGTTTTCAGATCCATTCGTTTGTCGGACTCTTTGGCCATTGATTTGATGAGACGATTGGCTGCGTCCAGA